AATCACCCCTCTCCCAACATCATATGCTTATAGTGATTCTCAGTGAAACCCACTATCCAGAATCGCTGTAACATTACCCATTCTGACCGATTAAGACAAACTCCAGGTCTTACAAATATTAGTATACATTTTCTTTCACCAAATATGACTGCTCATATTCAGTCCATGAATACCAGTATTATTTATAGCTTCAAATCAAAATACAAAAAGCTGTATTGCTATTATTTAATCAATCAATTTGAAAAAAATCAGAATCAAGAGTAAGAATTTTTTTTAGATAATTCAGCTATTCAAAAAAAAAAAATTCTGTTATTATATTATAATTTATATTTTTTTTTAAATTTATTTAATTTATTTTTTTATTAAATATAAAAAACTTACCTTGAGAAAAGTGATCAATTTCATTGCTGAAGCTTGGGATAATATTAATAATACCACTATAAAAAATTGCTAGAGAATTACTAGAATTATATCTGAAATAAATGAAATTGAAATGGATGAATTTGAAATGGATGAATCTGAAATAAGTGAATATAATAAAATTAATAATGCTAATTAACAATTAATACAATATATCAAAGAATATACTTGTCTGATTAATTAACCAATTAAAACTGAAGATGCATTAACTGATGAAGGTATTATTGAAATGATAATTCATGAATTTGGTAATAGTGATGATGAAATAGATAATGAAGAAGAATCACCATCACCTTCTTTAATAACTATAACGGAAGTCATCAATGTACTGAAACAAGTTATAAGTTATCAAGAAAGTCTTAAAGTTGGAAAAGGATTTAATGAGAATGAATTAATAATATTATGAAAAAAACTTAGAGAATGACATAGTGAAAAAGATAAAAATAAGAAGCAATCTTCAATTTTATCTTTTTTTAATTGTAATGAAAATATTGATCTTGCATTTTAATCTTTTTTTCATTATAATTTTTTTTAATAATATCAATTAATAATATATAATAATAATAATAAATCATTAGATAGTTTAATATATATAATTTACTTTAATAATTATATTTTCAATTCTGCAATCATGTGTTTTAGTAATAGGTAATCACATATATTATGTGCTTTAGTTTATTCATATATGTAATTTTGTAGAGAACAATTTATATAGGTGGTCAATAAAAAAGTGTGATAGTAACTATAATATGTTTGTACCTATACAGAGGTTAAAATAATATAAAAATAAATGATCAAAATAAAAATGTGACTATATTAATTTTGTGACTATATGGAAGGTGACTATAGAGAGGTCAGACTGTATAATAAAATAAATTAGATGATATTAAAAAAAATTAATTAATATTTTTGATAAATTATGTGTAAATTATGTATAAATTAGATAAATTAAATAATTAAAAATAGAATTATAAATAGAAAAATATAAAAGAAAATATAAATAATTATCAAAATTATATTATATAATATTTTACATATGATCAAAATATCAAATGGTGACAGTCTTCTCTACTTAAGAATTTTACTGTGAAAAACTCAAATAATTATAATAGACTCTAATTTGTTCAATTCAATATAGAGCTTTAAATGATCACTATTATGTGAATTTTTCAAAATTTTTTCATCAAGTGTATGTAATTTGTAAGTTCCTTTATCAAATTTGTCATGAATATAAAATGGTCCTTTTCATTTTTCTCCAAATTTGTCATGATATCAATGTTGAGTTTCTATTTGTTTTATTAGAACTTATCTCCAATTTCAAATACTTGGATCACTTTGTTTTTGTCATAATATTCTTTTTGTTTCAATTGCACTTTTTGAATATTTTGTAGAACTAATTCACAGTCTTCTTCTAGTTGATCAATAATTTTTGAACTATTTGTTCTTCTAATATTATTTTTTGATCATTTGGTAATTCTAATTGAATATTAAGTGATATATTTGCTTGTTAATCATTTGTTAAATAAAATGATTCAAACTGAGTAGCACTTTGTTTTATTGTTCTATATGCAAATAAAATATTTGGAAGATAGTGATTCCAGTTTTGTTTGTATAGTTGTACATATTTTGTGAGTACTGTATAAATTATTCTATTTAAGCATTCTACTAAACTATTTGTTTGTGGATGATAAGGTGCTGAGAGTCAATATTTTACTTGATATCTTTCTAGAAGTTCTGTAATTAGATCATTAACAAATATTATGTCTCTATCAGAAATAATTTCTTTTGGATATCCATGTCTATATATAATATTTTCATGTAAAAATAGAACTATAGTTACAGCAGCAGCATCAGGTATGGCTCTTGCTTCTGCTCATTTTGTAAAATAATTAATAGCGATGACAATATAGCAATTATTGTTATATGTTGATGAAAGTGATTCAATAAGATCTATACCAATTTTCTCAAATAGTTAAGTTACTGGTATTGGTGTTAATTTATTATTCTTTTTAGTTTTGTCTTTGCATTGGCATATATCACATGCTTTGATATAGTTGTCAATATCTTTGTACATCTGAGATCAATAGTATTTTTGATATATGCAATGATATGTATTTTCAATACCAAAATGTTCAATTGAATGTTCATTAAATAGAACAGTTTCAACTTCAGTAACTTTGATAACTTGTTGTGATTGATTTGAATTAAGTTTGTTTCTTTTATATAGATAATTTTTGTCGATAAAATATTGTTTGGATTTGGCTAAAAATTTTTGGATTTGATCTATTGAGAGGTTATTTGATAGTTTGAGTGTATCAAAATAATTGTATAATTAACATATTCATTCAAATTTATTTTGGATAATTATTGTTGTCTGATGTGTGTGATATTCTTGAAAGTGGATCTATATTGGAATGGATTCTATCTTTTTTGTGGATTGTTTCAAAGTTGTATTCTCTAAGTTTCATTATCCAGTGAGATAATCTTTCAGATGGATTAGATTTATTGAATAGTCATACTAAAGCAGCGTGATCAGTTATTAATTGAAATGGTGTATGAGAGTGAAGATATGGATGAAAGAGTTTGATTGCCCAATGGATAACAAGACATTCTAATTCAGTTGTTGAGTATTTATTTTCAGCTTGTACAACTCTTCTGCTTATATAAGCAATTACTCTTTTCAAATTATTCTCATCTTTTTGTAATAGAACAGCTCCAAGTTCAATTTTTAAAGCATCAGTAAATAATATAAAGAGTTTGTTAAAATCTGGGTATGTCAATATTGGTGTAATTGTTAGATATTGTTTTAATTATTTAAAGGCTTTTTGTTATTTATTAGTTCAAATAAAAGATTTGTCTTTGTAAAATAGTTAATGAAGGGGTGATGCTATTTTGGCAAAATCTTTTATGAAGTGATGATAATATAAAGCAAGTCCAACAAAATCTCTGAGTGTGGTTAAATTAGTGATTACTGAAAAGCTTTAAACTTTTTCAATTTTGGCTGAATCAGACTTGATTTCATTTTTTCCAATAATATAACCAAGAAAAGATAGTGATATTTTTTCAAAATGACATTTTTCTGATTGTATTTTCAGTTCAGCAATGCAAATTTTATCCAAAGTTTTTTGAAGGTGTTGGAGATGTTGTTCAAATGTAGAAGAATATACAGTTGTATTATCCAAATAAACAACTATAAACTTATTAATTATTCTTTAAACACAATATTCATGAGTTGTTAAAAGATGGCAGGTGCATTTGTTAAACCAAATGGTATAACATTAAACTCAAATAGATCTTGTTTGGTGAATGCAGTTTTTGCTCTGTCTTCTGGTTTTATCTCTACTTGCTAATAGCCAGCAGCAAGATCAATAGTTGAGAAATATTTGGCACTTTGAAATGCATCTAAAAGTTCATCAATGTGAGATAATAGATATCTATCTTTTTTAGTGACATTGTTCAATTATCAGTAGTCAATACATAAATGATATTTTCTATTTTTCTTTTTGACAATGATAACTGAAGCTGACTATGGACTTTTTAATGGTGAGATTATACCTTGTTCTAATATCTTTTGAATTTCTTCTTCTAGAATTTATTTTCAATTAGTAATTTTCTAGTATATGATTTGAGTGTGATGGGATAAGTTTCTTCAAGATGAATTTCATGTTGTATAATATTAGTTTGACCAGGTACTTCAGTATCAAACAAGTCAGCATATTCATTAAGTAATTATTGTAATTAATCTTGTTGTTGAGCTGTGAGATCAGTTTCAATTGTAGTATTGATAATATTATATGTTGGTTCAGATATGACTTCTAATTGTTGATAGAAATTTTGTTCTTTTGTATATTATTTGCAATTTTTACTGTTTTTGGAGAAGTGTGAACATTTATAGAAATCTTCTAAGCATTCTCTTTTAATTCTATTGATATTAATTTGGTCATATTTTTTATTATTGATTTGTGTAAAATATTCTCCAATTTCAATATTTAGTGCTGGTTTCCTATTGAGATTTTTTTCTACACATAGTAATAGTTGGTCTTCTATTAATGAATCTTTATATTCTTCTTCAAATTTGTCATCATTATCTTGAATATTATAGTTATCAAGATCAAAGTTATCATACACTGTAGTTTTTTTTTCTTGAGTTATTGGTATACGATGACTAGTACAAGTAATAGTAATATTATGTCTACTATTATTGTTTACAAATGATAGTATTTTGTTAGATCAATCTAAAATAGCTTCATGTTGATGAGTCCAGTTATTTTCAAGGAGAATATCATATTCAGCATGTTCAAGAACTAAAGTATTAATGATGAATTCTTGTTGTTGCATTATTACTAATAGATCTTTAATTGCTTCAAGTGGCATTTCTGATTTTCTACTATTCCAATTAATCGAATATTTGATGATTTAGTAATATTTTGATTGATTTCTTATAATATTACTAACTGATTTACTATCAATAATTATATTAGTTGATTTATTTCTAATAATTCTAATACAATGAACAGCTTCAACTGATATATTATTATTATTATTATTATAATTATCTTCATTATTATTATTATTTTTTTTTATTTTCTTGTTGATTGTTGATTGTTTAGTAATAATTGTTCCAATTTTTGTTTAGCTGAAGGTTTTATAATTTTAAATATACTCTCATCTTCTAAAGATGCATTTTCTAGTTTAAATGTTGGTTATTGTTCTTGTTTGAAGATTGTTGATTATTTAATTGAATTAATTGTTGTAATTACTATAAAAGATTATCATGTTGATTATTAATATCTTCCATTTCTCCAAAGTTACTAGATTATTAATTATTGTGATTATAATTATTATTATTACTATTATTATTTCTATTATAATTACTTCTTTCATTGTTATAATCTGATGCAAAAATATTAATACATGAAAAATGAAAGTTAATAATTACTTCTAATAAAAGTTATACAATATATAATTAATATTTATAATTTTTTATATTAAGTAAAGTATATCTTAATATAACTTTTTATATTATTTTTAATATTTTTTTATATTTTTATTTAAGAATAAATAAGATAAGACTTTTCACTTTTGAACAATAAAATTTGCAATTTTTAAAAATTAAAAATAATTTTTAGATATTATTATTATAAATTTATATTTTTAGAAATTTATACTCAACAAGTGTATTAATATATATATAATAAATATATATTTCAAATTTTAGCAAAATTGGATCACAAGTTGTTGAAAAATTAAGCTTTAAAATTTAAAATTTTAATTTTTTTCATTATATAAATTTATAAAAAATAATTATAAGTTACTATATAAAAAATTAAAATAATCAAATTGAAAAAGTTATTGATTAATAAAATTTTTTATTTTTATT